GAGACTTGCCACAGGAAGGTCAATTAGAAGGCAATTGCAATAGCTAGGCAAGAGGTGAGGAGGACCTGTACTAGGGTGATAACGACAGGAAGGAGGGGGTGTATACAAGAAATGTGCAGGGAAAAACGTGGGAGCAATGATACGGAGAAAGACATTACTAGATTTGGCAACTAATTGGATATGTGGGGTGATGGAGAGAGGATTAAAGGTCATATGACATCAGGGTTTCAAACCTCTCCCTGAAATATCCCTCCACCATACTGGCCCCCTTCCCCCTTTGGTGAGTTCCTCCAAGTGGTTCCATTTTGGGGAGGAGCCGAAGTCATTCTCACCTCAGCTGGGCTTCTGACTTCAACACCATGCCCCACCCACTTCCTTCCCCTTTTCAAACCCATGGTTAGGGAATGATATAGGTGATGATTAAGCAAAGGAGACAGAAAAGAAGCAATCAGATGAATAAGAGAACCAGGAATCAAGTAAATCTAGAGAGGAGAGAGCATCTAGAACAGGGGTGGGGAACTTGCAGTCTTGAGGCCACATGTGCCCCTCTAGGTCCTCAAGTTCGGCCCTTTGACTGAATCCAAACTTCACAAAACAAATCCCCTTCATAAAAGGATTTGTTCTGTAAAACTTGGACTCAGTCAAAAGGCAGCACCCGAGGACCTAGAAGGCCACATGTGGCCTCAAGGCTAGAGGTTCCCCACCCCTGATCTAGGAGAAGAAGATGGCCCAGAGGGTCAAAGAATGTCAAGAGATCAAGGAGGATGAGGACTGGATTTAATAACAGCATTTATTTCTATATTTGTCTCCATTTTTTCATCTGTAAAATGGAGATAATAATAGCACCTGCCTCTGGAGGTTGTTGTGAGGGTCAAATAAGAAGTAGCTGCAGCAATGTGAAAGAAAAAAATGGGGCTCCCCACCCCCCCCAGCCTGAAATGAAAAGAATGTGGAAAAGGAACAGTACTCTGGAGAACCACTAACGCCCAGTCTTGGTCCCCAAGAACAGATAAGGAGACATGCCCTGGTAAAGAAGGGGGGAAACCCCCGAAAGGGGTGAGGAATGCTGCATACAACGCCAGAGGTGGTCTTTTCCTCCTTCAGTTTTGCTTGACTTTGTTACAAGGCAGGGATGTAGAAATGATTGTGAAATAAAAGATATGTATAGACTTTTTTTAAAACAAGTAATCAATCAATACACCTTTATTAAGTAGCTACTGTGTGCCAGGCACTGTGTTAAGTGCTGGAGATACAAAGAGGCAAAAGACAGTCCCCGCCCTCAAGGAGCTTACAATCTAATGGAGGAGACAACATGCGAAGAAATATATTGGAAGCACGCTATGTACAGGATCAATAGGGAATAATGAACAGAGGGAAGGCACTGGAATTAAGAGGGGCTGGGGAAGGCTTCCTGTAGGAGGTGGGATTTAGTTGGGCCTTAAGAAGCCAGGGAGGTGTACTTCGTCCTATAAAGGGGGCTGCACCCTAGGAGAGTGCGTGACCACCCTACGTCCTTGACCCCCATGTGACCCCGCCTTCTAGGCAGTGCCCCAGCACCACCACCACGTGAGGTATACTGGCTTCTCTCCTCTTCCCAAAGCCCACAACCTGGGCTGCCCTTCCTTTCCGCTTCCCTGCAGGAGCCGGCTCCCCACACCCCCCTACCCCGCCCCCCCAAGCCCGATTCCCCCGAGGCCTCCAGCTTGGCACGGCGGGGGCCCGGGTGATTGCAAACAGCCGCCTGGCCTCATTAGGAGACGTGTAATTAGCGGCTGGCTGAGCCGGGAGACTGAGCCCGCTAATTACCGCTGGGAGCTGGCTGCGCCGCCGGCGGCACGCCCCGAAGCACCCTCCCACCCCAGGAGCATCCTCCCAGCCCGGTCGCCTTGGCCCCTCACCCCTCCGGCTAGGAGGCAGGGAATCGTGGGCTGGAATAGTCGAGGTCATCTCAGAGGCTGGCATCAGTCCCCGTAAGGGCTTCGGGCTCCTCGAGCTGGACAAGAGGTCCTCGTCCCGAGGCTTGCATCTAGTTTGTAAGCGAATTAGCATTTAGTAAGCGCCTACTATGTGCCGGGCACTGTGATGCAAAGCTAGAATGGACCATACAAATCAAGGCCAACCTCTCATTTTTACAGATGTGGAAACTGAGCCCCAGAGCGCAATTAGGGTTGGCTGGCTCAAGGTCGGTCACACAGGTCATGGCAGAGCCGGGATTCGAACTCAAGTTGTGCTTTTCAAATTCAGCCAGCTACCTGTCTTCCTCTTTCTCCAGCTGGCTTCTAGCTCCCTGTCTCCTGCGGGAGGGTAGGTAGTCAAAAGCTGGGGCTAGAGACTCATTCTGCACCCTTCTTCCCCTCCAGAAGCCAGCGTTTCCCCCCAAGCATCCTCATCGTTGCCCCTCTGGAGTTTTCGCCTGATCTACCTGCGGAGCGGAGAATGTCCCCGGTCTGTTCGCTTAGCGGGCGGCCGAGGCCCCCTGCTGGCGAGAAGCAGGGAGGAGGGACCGATCGGCCAGGAGTCCGATGCGTTCAACTGAACATTCCTGGGTCGAAGGATTTCAAGCAGAATCTGGAGATCACCTAGTCCAAGCTCCTCTCAGAAGGCGAGGATAGAAGAAGGGTCGGGGCTCCGAGTACGGAAGCACCTGGTTTCACAGGGAGTCAAGAGCAGAGTCAAAATTTGAACCCAGGGCTTCTGATCCCCCAACCAAAGCCCCTTCCACTCTACCAGAAGAGAGGGAGGACGAACCTTTTCTGAACCTTATTTTTCTCAAAATACAAAATGAGGGGATTAGACAAAATGATTTCTAACATCCCAAGTCGCAAGTATAAATACTTGTTTATCCTCCTCTCCTCCCCCTCCTCTGCATCATCATCATCATCATCATCATCTCTTCTATCTCCCCCATTTGAATGTCAGCTTCTCAAGGACAGACACTTTTTTTTCTTGTGCAGACATTTTCCTAGCTGTGTTAAATGTTTAAGGTTAGCTTCCATACTTATAAACTTTGAATAGCTAAATATAAGACCCCTAGTTAGACTGTGAGGTCACTGCTGATGTAATAAATACTTGTTGAATAAATGAATTTAAAGGGGGGAAATGAATACAAAAAAGATTAGAAAAGTTTACGATCCTATAAATAGGGAAGATATTAACGCTTGTCTGGGGCCAGGGGTCAGTCTCAAAATTTACAGCTGTCCATTGTCAAAGCGCTACTAGAGTCACAGGTACCATTTGAACTCACTTCTTCTAAAAAATAAATCCCGAGGCAGCGAGGTGGCACAGTGATAGAGCTTCAGCCTAGGAGTCAGGAGGACCTGAATTCAAATCTGGCCTAGAGACTTGACACTAGCTGTGTGATGTTGGGCAAGTCACTTAACACTGATTGCCTTATCAAAAAAAAAAAAAAAAAAAAAAGCAAAAAAAGTTCCATGGTTACTTGTTAAATCTGTCCATGAGAAATCCTAGGCTGCTGTTAAGAACGATACAAAGGATTTGTAAATTAACACACTATGTTACCTGCAATAGGAATGCAAAAAAAGGCAAAATCAACAATCCCCCTCCTCTAGGAGCTCACAATCTATAAGCATTAATTAAGCACCTACTGTGGGCCAAGCATTGAACTAAGCTCTGGGGATACAAAGAAAGGCAAAAACAGTCTGCTCTCCTGCAGCTCACAATATAATGGGGGAGACAATGTGTAAATATAACTAGCACCTCCCAGGATCACTTTACTGGTATCTGCCTCAGTTTCCTCATCTGTAAAATGGGAGAAATAACAGCATCTATCTCCCAGGGTTTCTCTGAGGATCAAAGGAGATACTTGTAAAGCAAAAAGCAAACCTTAAACCCTATGTAAATTCTAGCTATTATTATTATTATAGGTAGATAAGATACTTATAGAGTAAACATTTACAGAGTAAAAGCTAAGCTTAAATGTTTAACACAGCTAGGAAAATATCTGCAGAAGGCAAAAACTTCTGCCCTCAAGAAGTTTACATTCAAATGGGGGAGACCTGTGATAGAAGATATAATAATAATAATAATAATAATAATAATAAATCGTGTATATGCTACTTTAATGTTTGCAAAGTGCTTTACAAAGGGAGGTTTGTTGAGTCACGTGTGACTCTTCGTGACCCCATTTGGGGTTTTCTCGGCAAAGATACTGAATTGGTTTGTCATATCCTTCTCCAGTCCATTTTACAGATGAGGAAACTGAGGCCAACAGGGTGAAGTGACTCAACCAGGGTCATACTGCTAGTAAGTGTCTGATTGGAACTCAGGACTCCCTGACTCCAGGCCCAGTGGATAAACATACAAGTAGATTTAAAAAAAAAAAAAAAGATATTTACGGAGTAGGTGAAAGGGGAAACCATTAGCAGTCAAAGGCACCTGGAAAGGCCTCTTAGGAGGACAAGATCTACTGAGTTTTGTCTTTTTGGCTAGGCAATGGGGTTAAGTGACTTGCCCAGGGTCACACAGCTAGTTAAGTGTCAAGTGTCTGAAGCCGCATCTGAACTGAGGTCCTGACTCCAGGGCCAGTGCTCTCGCCACCAAGGTGCCCGGATCTGCTGAGTTTTGAAGGAGGTCGGGTGCATCAGGGAGGAGGGAAAGCATTCTAGACATGGGGGACTGCCGGTGGAACGGCACGGAGAGGGGAGATGAAGAGATCTCTGGCCACCCAGGACCGAACTCTCTTCGCTCTTCTCAAGCTCTAAGGCGTAGCTGTTACAAAGTCCAGCCAAGCCTAGCCCGCAGCTAGCAGCAGGCAGATAGCCTGCGGGTGCGCAGAGCGCGTGCGCAGCGCAGCCGCCGGGCCTGACGGCAAATCAATCCCAAAGCCAGGCGCCAGATCGCGCACGCGCGGAGCGCGCGAACAACTGGCGTCTTAAGCCCCGCCCTCCCTCTGTCGCCGCGAGATCTCAGTGGCTGCCCTGCTGAAGCGGCTCCGCTGCCATTGGTCAGGGTGCTGGTCCATCCGGCCGGGGACCCCGGATTTCCGGTCCGGCCCGCGGCGTTGCTGTGGAGATGGTGCGGTTCAAACACCGGTAAGGCTTCCCCGTACCCGTTCTCGCTCACTCGCCGTCCCGGCCCCGGCTCCCCTCGCTCACTCGCTTCTGCGCTCGTCCCCGCCGCAGGTACCTGCTGTGCGAGCTGGTGTCGGAGGACCCCCGCTGCCGCGCCTGCCTGGAGGAGCGGGTCCTGTTCGGCCTCGTGCGGGACGCCATCGCCCGGGTGCACGGAGCCTTCGGCGCGGCCGCCTGCGCCGTGGCCTTCACAGGTGAGGCCGGAGCCAGACGGGAGGATGCTCAGGGGCGGGCCGCGGGAATGCCTCTCCTCGCCGGACTTTGAGCTCGGCGAGGACGGAGACCCCGCCGTGGCCATTCTGGGGGTCCCCGGCGCTTGGCGCGCGGCAAGCGCCTACTGAGTGCTGGTCCGCCCCCAGCACCCTCCTTGGGTTCTGACTTCTCTCCTCTTCATCGCCCTCGGGCCATGGGGATTCCTGGCCAAATTCTCCCAGCAACCGTGTGACATAGGGACTACAGGTATTGCTGATAAAGAAATTGAAGGGGTTGTGACTTTCTCATAATCATAACAGCAAATACTTTTAAAAAGTGGGATTTGAACTCAGGTCTCACCTGATTTGGGGCAGCTAGCTGGTGGCAGTGGATAGATTGTCTGCCCTGAAGTCAGGAAGATTCACCTTCCTGAGTTCAAATCTGGCCCTGGACTCGTACCAGCTGTGTGACCCTGGGCAAGTCCCTCCACATTTTTTGCCTCAGTTTCTTCATCTGTAAAATGAGCTGGAGAAGGAAATGGCCAACCACTCCACTACCTTTGCCAAGAATACCCCAAATGGGATCACAGAGTCATACACAACTGATTACTGGTCTAGAATTCTGTTGTACCCTCCTGGCCCCCTTCTTCTTCAGGATGGCTTCACCTGCCTCTGTACCCAACCTCCACCTCACTGTTTCACTAGACAATACCTAACATTGCCTTCCTGACACTTCCCTCCAAATTTGAATCTTTGTGATATGCAACCAGAGCTGTGCCCTTGTGGCTCTTTTGACGATCTTTGTAGCCTCCCTTTTAAAAACTCATACTTAATTCCCCCAAACCAGTTATAAACTTTTCTTTTCTCTTCTCACCACCCCCCAGGGGCCCACACGCATTAGCAGATAAGTAGCATCTTTCTTCACTAGTCAGATGCAGGATGTCTGTCTGACATGCACTCCCTCAGCTGCCTTCCTCCTTTTCTCCGAATCATCATTTACTTTCTCCTTTCTTCTAGTCAGAGATGTCCTTACTTCTCCAGTACCTCTTCCTAAGCCCTTGATCTCATTCCCTTCTGGGTCTAGTATCAGTTTGCTCTGTCCTTCTATGTTTGCTCCTGCAAAAATGTCCTACTTTCCTCCTAATTTTTTTTTGTCATATCCAGTTACTTTCCCATCTCTCGCCTTCTTTTCACTGTCATTTGGAAGAGGAATTCAACATTTTTTTGCCCGATTCCACAAGACAGAACTAGGAATAGTAGCTGAAATTTGCCAAGAGGCAGACAGGCTTAATGGAGGTCAAGACCCTCCATTAGCCAGGATAGTGAGGCTTCATTCGCTGCAGGTCAGTCAGCTTTGGCTTAAAGCTAGATGTCAGGAATGTTGTAGAGAGGATCCTTGCTCAAGTTTGGGTTGAATTAGATGTCCTAATAAGGTTTCTAACTGAAATTCTGTAACTTGAAAGCGCCCTACACCTGACTCTTCTGTCCAAACCTCCTTACTGTTCCTCTCTTCAGCCCCCTGAAACTTCCCTCCTGCCCTCACTGAGACTCGTATTGTTCTCTAGAAAGGTCAGCATTTCTAATTACTAAATTCAGTGTTTCTCTTGCAGTTCAAGAAACATAATAAGCAGGGCATGGTTCTTGCCTGGTGGCTGCAATACAAAGACTAATCTCTGTAACTTGTAATATAATTGACACTCCCTTCCTACCGAATCGGCAGTACTGGTCTCCTTGTTCTGCTCCACCTTTCTGACCTCTTCTAGACACCTGAATGCAAGTGTGCCCCGAGGATCTACCCGGGCTCTCTTTCCTTCACTAGACTCTTGGCAGTCTCATTCTCGTCCAGGGCTTTAACCATCACCTCTATTAATAATCCTAAACTCTCCTGAGATCTAAACTCACGCCTCTAAATGAACGGTACACTAGTACTTCACCCTCAGTAGATCCAGAATAGAGGTCCTCTTTTCTCCTTAGCCCTCTGCTTTCATTAGGTCTGTGGCAGCACTGGTCACCTGCTTGCATAGGCTGGGAGTTACCCTATTTCTCATGTCCAGTAATTTGCCCAGGGTCACATCCTAATCCTCCAGCCATTCATAAAAACTCCAGTCTGCCTACATCACTCCTTTTCTTAAGAACTTTAAGTAGATTCCTGTTATCCATGACTTGGATGGGGGTGGAAATGCTATATTAATCAATTGTGTGGATGACCCAAAATAGGAAGGTAGAGTCACAGAATCCAAAAGGATTGGGATAGACTAGAGAGCACAGGCTGACTCTGAGGAGATGGGAGTCAACCAGGCCTGAGTGTCAGCTCATCTACTGGGGTACAAAAATAAACAACTTCACCAACCCAAGATGGGGGAGGCATGCATGGCTAGGCAGCAGGTATTGCTTTTTGAAAAAAGGAAAGATCTGGGGGTTTTAGTAGATTGCAAACCAGTATAATTTCAGGCTGCATTAAGAGGGCCATAGCTCCCAGGAGGAGGGAAGTGACAGTCTGGTATGGTCCTTATCAGGCCCTTTCTAGAGTAGGTAGTGTTCAGTGCAGGGTGCAAATCTAAGGATGTTGGTAAGCCAGATAGTATCCAAGAGGACAGCTAGGCTGATAGAAATGAGATCTGTTGAAAGAGGTGGGCCTCTTTAGCCTGGAGAAAACTCAGGACATGAGAACTTTTTCTAGTATTTGGAGATTAGACAGACTGGTTCTCTTTGTCCTCAAGAGGCTGGCTGGGAGAAAGTACTGCCCCCAACCCCACCCCGGCCCAAGGTCTTTGGTATGTTTTAGTGGGTATTCCTTTTGTGTTTGGGTTGGACTAGATGGCCGAGGGCCCTTCCAGCTCCCATACTAACTCATCCTTTCTTCACTTGTCATTCCTAAATTCGGGGAAGCTCTCCCTGGTCCCGCCACCTCTCCCCACTGGTAACAATCTTCCCTCTCAGAACTCACTCGGTACTTTGTTGTGTAACCCTCTGATACACATCCTGTGGGACAGGCATCACTGGCCTTCTGTCAGCGTCACATGGTCGTGGTCTTGGACACCTCCACCCCTCCCCACCTTCCACCCCACTCTGCTGCTTCCATCTAGTAGCACAGTGGAGAGCACCACCTTGATGCCCGGCTCTGGCAAAGGCTGTATACACATGCTGTTGCTGGTAAAAGGTGATCACCACCGGTCGCAAAGAGCTGAATCCTGTCCATCCTTCCTGGCCTCTACTTTCCCTAGTGAAGAGGAACCACACTGCTGCCTCCTAGCGGAGAGCACAGAAGCTGCAGCACATCCCCTGCCTTTACAACTTGATCACTAAGAACTGCTGTGGCCAGAAAAAGAGACCTGGAAACCAACCTGGAGACGAATTCTCTAACCTTAGCTTTCCCGGGCCACGCTCTGTACAAAAGCCTGGCCTGCCAGGACAAGCCATCTGGTGTGTGGGTGGGAGTGGGGGCTGGGGGGAAGCCTTGAACTCTAGAAAGGACATCCTCACAATTCATCATCAGGATCCCAGTGCACTTTGCTCTGTTGACATCACCTGCTGATCAAGCATGGGCAGGCATCGTCTACACTTGCTAATGCATAAAAAACCTCTGGACGCATAGATGTTCTGAGACAGCTGTTTTTCTCCTAGTGAAATACCTCAATGCTTATACTGGGGTAGTGCTACTTCGATGTCGGAAAGAATTCTACCAGCTCCTGTGGTCAGCTCTGCCCTTTATTACTTATTTAGAGAACAAGGGACAGCGCTATGCCTGCTTCTTCAACACACTGCACGTGGGAGGTGAGTGAGATGGTGGAAAAGCTGGCTTGCAGCTCTTGATCAAAGGGGGATCTCCCCCACAACAGGCACTCCAGCTCTGCTGGGGACCACAAAATCCTTTCCTTTGATTTGTCAGGGACCATCAGAACCTGTCAGAAATTCTTGATTCAGTACAACAGGCGACAGCTTCTGATCTTACTGCACAACTGCCCTGATGGAGGTAAGTGGCCCTGTGTCAGGGATTATCTGGCAAGCCTCACCTGCTGGGGTGGAGCGAGAAGAAACTAACAAAAGCATGCATGCCAGAGATATCTTTCATGATTACTCTGCTTTTGATTTTCTGCAGAGGAACGGGAGTCTATCAAAAAGTCGGTCATGAGCTGTTCATTAGAAGAACCGCAGGAAGACCAGCTTTCAGGAGGTGGAAGTGAAGAGGATGCCACAGAGATGGAATGAGGATCTGCGGGGAAGCTAAACCCTCGCACAAATGCAGTTATGTTGCTACTCATCACCTCTATCCCGTCTCCTAAGGCAGGCAGCGGAGCCTCTCTGTTCTCTGCCTCAGAAGAGATCCGGGAGCAAAATCCCTGTGGTCGAGAACCATGACCTTACGAAGCAAGAACTGTTTTAAACCACATTTCCTGCTGCTTATCCCTTTTCAATATAATTTTTGTTGCCATGAACAAATGCCCTCTCCTTCCCTGTAAGGGTTCCTCAGTTTTCATTGAAGCCACAAGCAGAATGTTCCAATAAATTTGGCCCCATTGGAATCTGGGCAAAGGACTCCCTTCCCCCACCTACTGCCAAAACAGACCAGTTATTCACACTAGCCCTCCCGAGCGAAGTCATTCTTCCCCTGCTCTTAGGTAAGAGCAAGGCATTTGTTTCAACTTTCATGCTCAATGTAATTTTTATTAAACTACCAGTTGGTTTTCCTGGTTGGTCTTGGAACTTGAAATGGGATTAAGTTACCTTAATTGATTGCAGTTAGCTCCAAAGAAACCAGGGCTAGCCGTGCTTTTACCTGTTCAGTTGGTTTTCTTCCCAAGAAACACAAGGGCCAGTATCATTGCAGAAGCCAACACACCCTAGGTTTCAGCTGCTGGGCAAAGAAACCCAGCCTGAATCGCTGGGCCTGGGTCCGAGCTCCCTCCTGCCCTCTTGGTTGTGTGGGGAGAACGTGTCACTTCTCCCAACCTCTCATAGCTGCCCCTTCCTCAGGCCAGCTTCTGGTCTGCTGATTGCTTACTGCCCAGCTTGATCCAAAAGGAGGGGAAGGTAAAAGAAAGGAGGCTGCAGGTGTGTTTTTGAGCAATGCTGGAGATAATTACCTGGGGTGCAGTTTTGGCCAAGGGTCCTAGGTTTGTTTTTTGTTCAAAAAAGAAGGCTCACGCTTCCTCTTGTGCATATGATTTATTGCAACTGTTTGCCTTCGCCATTACGTTACACCTAGAGGTCACTTTATTCAACAACAACAAAAATCCACATCACTGAAACTCGGCTTCAAACCAAACCCCAAGCAGCACATAATGAGACTGCTCCAGAAAATGAGAGATGCAGATGTATGGGGCCTTACTGCTTTCAGCCCAGCTCAGTATCAAGCCCGTATGCCTCCTGCATCCCAACCAGAGGTCCTAGCTCAATAGCAGTGGTTTCCTCTGCCAAATACCCAACTGTCCCTTGCTTTTGTCCCTCAGACCTGTCCCACTGGTGCCTCCATGCCAACCATGAAATAGGCATGTGGTTACTGCAGCTTTCTAATCAATCAGAGTCAATAACTTTTCCTTGCTGAGCCAGAGGAGTTAGGTTAAGAGGTTGATGGAGAAGTCTTCCCTCTCCCAGGCAAGTTCAAAATCCAACTGCTGTATACTTGGAGACCTAAAAATCCTCTGAACTTGGCACTACAGGCTGTCTGCCAGTCAGAAGAAAAACAATTGCAATTTGAGCTGGATGTCCTAAATCCAATCTACTCCCACACCCTTCTGTTCTTTAAAAAAGAAAAAGAAAATCCGGAACAGGTAGAAGAGACTAACTTGTGAAAAAAAGAAAAAAGAAAAAGATGTGAACTGTGATTAGTGTGTCCTCTAGAACCCTGTGAGATACGCAGCAGGAAAGGGGGGGGGGTCAGATGAGCACAGCTGTACCTTAGAGCCCATGCTTCTGGCGGTGCCTCGATGGCTCTCAGGCTGCCCAGAAGGCGTGGCCTCCCAGGCGCCAGAAGCTGGGGTACAATGCTAAGACCACCTGCACATAGGCCAAGAGATGGAATTGGCATGAACTAGAAACCTTGACTGAAGGTTCATTTATGTGAGTGTCAATACTTTATTCTGGTGTAAATATTGGAAGCTGGAAAATACACCGTATTTAAATTAGTTCCTTTGGTTTCCCCCTTGATCTGTGGAAACTCCCCCTCCCCCCCACAGAGCTAATCTGTGCAAACTCAAGTCCTTAAAAACTATAGCAGCAAAACAAAGCAAAGGAAAAGAAAACACCAGCTGGAGAGGACATGGGGGCGGAGAGTCACTTGGTGTGGACCACCGAGGTGCTGAACAACAGCTTCTTCTTCTGTTTCTTCCTTTTCTTTCCTCCCTTCTCTTCTGCTAAAGGAAGTACAAAGACAGGACTTAGCTATGACTCGGGGCTCAAGGTAACCAGAGCCAGGGAGGCTGAAGCCACCACTCTGGGGAAGGCACAGTGAAAGTATGGGGGAAGGCCCAAAGAGCTTAGCATCGACTAAGAAAATGGAGACCCACAGATGACCAGAGTCGTTCCTCTAGGATGTCATGGAGGCAAAGATCCAGACATGGCAATTCAAGCGGCCTGGGATTAAGAAAAAGGTCTTCAAGGTGGCAGACATGTGAGCTAATAATAAACCTCAGAGAGATGAATTTGTTTTAGTCTGTGGTCCATTTTGACAATTAAACCCATGTAAAAATGGGGCCACAATCTATTTTAACAGATAATACTCCCAGTGCTGAATGAGAATTTCACGTTCAGGCACAAGGTACTGAGTAGGTCAGCGTCTCTGCCCTTACCAGAGAGCAGGTCTGAGGAGGCTGGCGTGTCCAGTTTCAGGAAGGCTGCTTCAATTGCTTGGCTGAAGGAATTCTGGAAGCTGGGCACAGGTACACGGTCTGAGTTGTCACTTTCCCCATCACTGTCCACAGGGGCAGGAGGAGCTAGAGTGTTCTCATCTAGAAAATGCCAGAAACACTCTCATGGCAAGGATCTGAGCCACCTAGATCCATAAGACACTCCCCTTACAGCTAGGGTTCTTAACAACTGTCCACTCATCTCACCTTTTTTGGAGGCAGTTTTGGGCCACATATCTGCCTTTGCTTTTCCAACCCTCAGCATCTGCCAAAGAAAAGCTGTTGTTAGCCAGGACAACAATTAAGTTTCACCTAGCATGTTCCAGTTTCTGATCAAGCTCCACTCTCTTGACCCTGGGCTAATAAAGGGAAATATTTGCTATTAAGCCTAGATCAGATCATTATTCAACAAAGAGTCCAGTGTAAAGCAAGCCTAGAGACCTAGATGAATTTCTTCACAAGTGATTAAAAAGAATCTAAGGCATTCAGAAAGGGCCTAAGAGGTCCATGATGAATGTCAATAAGTAGTTCTTGCTACAGTCTCTTTGGTTAGTTCCTGAAATGTCTTCTACCAAAGGCCCTCCATTCAATAGCTTTCTACCTGCCTCGGGTAGAAACTCGGATGTAACAAGCAGCCGCCATGTCTGTATTGTGGTTCCAGTTGAGGCAGTGATGTGGTAAAGTGGGCAGAGCACTGCGCCTGGGACCAGAGCTCAAACTCGACCTCAGACATACACTGGCTGTGGGACCTGGGGCAAGTCACACACACCTGTCAGCCTCAGTTTCCTCAAATGTAAAATGGGGATAATACCACCTGCCTCTCCAGATTGTTTTGAGGATAAATGAGATTAATTATTGTAAAGTGCTTTGCAAAGAGCACAGTAGGTGCTTAATAAGTGCCTCTTCGATCTAGCTGCCTTATGGTAGGGTAATCTCTTCAGCCTGCCAATCCTTCTCAAACACGTCGTAATCTCACCACCCTCAAACTGTTCACTCCCCTTTATTCCAAGCTGTAACTTTCCCCTTTTAACAAAACAGCCACTGGCTTTCCTGAGACTCAGCCTTTACATTTTTCTCAGAGCATTTGAAATCAGAGCTCTTCCCCCCCCCCCCACCTCGGGCAGGGATAGCAGCAGTCGGACCAGGCCTGGTTAGTAGTGCTCACAAGCCATCTGCCATTTCCCAAGAATGTCATAAGCAGGCAGATGTTTAGAAGCTATTAACATGCTAGAAAAGCAAGCTGGTTTTTTGTTCTTCTAAGAAGAATGATGGAAAGTTTAGTGACAGGGACAAAGAATAATTCTCAGGTGGAATTTCCTGGTTCTAACAGGTGCTCTTAACTTTCCAGTAACGTGCCACTTTGCTTTTTGATCCAGACAGATGTTCTCCATTTAATGGGAATTTTGTTAAAGTACACATGTCACCTGGATTTTTAACATGCAGTCCTTAAAAGACCTCGAGGCTAATCTGATTTCAAAAGGAGGAATATCAGCAAGCTAAGACAACTGCCAGACTCTCAGGCACCTGTCTGCCAGCTCCAACATCTAGAAGTTGAACATCATAACCCCCTCCAATGATCACCAACCCCATTTCATCATATTCCAAATGTTCAACTTCAATCCATTACTAAGCAACGCCAGCTTAAACCTTCTTTTGTGAAGGCCAGTATCAGCTGCTCCAGACCAAGACTCCAAACTGGTTGACCTACTAAACTAGCAGCCAGGGAGAAATAAAGTGTCACTCTCAAAAAACTTCAGCCATAGAACACTCTTCACTAGCTATCTGAACATTAAGATTATTAAACTATCCCATAGAACTGACTTGGCTACAGTCACACTGCTCTATTATTTCTGAATATTCTACTGGCTAAAACAGGAGAGCTTGGCTGCCAAGGGTTTTTACCTAAAACAACCTTTATTTTTCTCCCCCTCCTTGCCAAAGTGAAAAGGATGGGACTGTAGAAAATCAATCTCCCCCTGGCCTGAAGGGAGGAAAAGGAGCCCAGCTGTAGATTTTACACCCACAATTCAATAACCTTCAAAGTTCATCCATGCCCTTCTCTTCCACAAGGCCCCTGCTGGCTCTTCACCCACACAAACCAGAACCAACTCCCACTTGTTCCAACTCTAAGCATTCCCAGCCAATAACGGTCATCAGAGGAAGTGCTGCTATTACATTAACTTGGATTACTACCATTTTCAAAACGGGGAATGCAGAGGGGAAGTTCTTACAGCCAGCTCTCAGTGACACACATACAGAGAAGCCCAGGAAGTTAGGCATCCGGGTTTGGGACCTATGGTAGCAGATGACCTCATTCACCAGGTCCCTTTCCATTAGACGGCAAAGATCATAAAAAGGTCAAGGACAGAATGAGCAGCAGTGCCAAACACTCTTCCGCAAAAGGTTTACCTGGGCAAAGGAAGGAAAGGGAGACTCTTCCTCCAGGCTCCCAACGCAGAATGAAGGGGTGCCCTGACCGTCAGTGGGTGACAAAGAAGCCAACACAGAGCCTGCAAAGGAAGGACCATAGACTTAATCACAACAGTAACTTAATGAAAGCTGTTGTTTTCCTCAGAAAAGGAAGAAAATGAGAACACGAGCTAAATAATCCAAAGAGAAGATACTAACCAAATTAAATTTATTATCAAACATTAATCCACTTTGCCTTTTCATCTTCCTCATAAAAAAGCTAAAGAGCTTGGTCTATCAATGCACATAAGGAGTTCGACAAGTTGTTCCCAGAGGAACTAAACTCTCTTCCTTCTCATCTGAAATGCTGGCTGGCTCCCAAACTCTGGAACGTCTATACCAGTCACCGCTCTAGAGAAGAACAGTTTGATACAAAAATCTCCACTCGGCAGATCCGAAATGGGCAGACTGGTCATGTTTGCCCAGAGTTTTTAAAAACTAAGTGTAGCTGGAGCCGAGCTGGGCACATCAAGCCTCACCATGCTCCTCAAGGTGGTGCACTGCACATACAAGGTCTACGTGGAGTCATCTAGTACAACTCACACCGCACATGACAAGTCATCAGCCAACCAGACTCCACTTGAAGACCTCCAATGAAGGGGAACCATTACCTCCCAAAATAGCTCCTTCATTCTGTAATCACTTCAATAGTAAAGACATTTTTTCTTATGTCAACTTGAAATGCCTCCCTGTGATGTCCATTCATGGCTCTAAAGATGTGATGGTGAGAACCAGCTGGGAAAAAATGAATTGCTCCTGTTCACTCCCAGTTCACTGTCCAGTACTGACGCTCTGGGAACCAATGCCTGAGCCCGTCACCTTGGTCTACTTTAAAGGTGGTCTTCTTGACCTTTAGAAAATTTATTGTGAAAACAACAAAACTATGCCTTAAATTGAGGTGACATGTTCTGGTAGGAAAGGCTAATAACTTCAGCTGTGGTGTTTAATAATGGGCTGCAAGTCTGATAACCTCTAAAACTTGTGACCAACTGGGGCACAATGACTTGACATCCTCACCTGCATGGGACCCTGGGCTTCTGCTAAGAGGAGACTGTGAGAAGGAACCATGGTCCTCAGTGCTGGCGAGAACCAAAGAAGGATCAGGGGAACAGGCATTGAAGGCAGGAAACTGCTGGAGGTTCTCTAGAGCGATGTGGACTTCAGGATCTACGAAGGAAGGATTCTCAGCCAGGATTTCAAACTCTCCCCCAGAGCCCAAGTTGGTAACACAATCACAGCATCACAGCCCCCAAAGCCAAAATTATGCCCAAGAGAAACAGGCAGAGGATGGGTGCTCATCAGTCCACAAGAGCACCAGGAAATGAACCTCCTAGCCCGAATGCCATGCTGTTTTCCTGAATAGTGTCCCTCTGGCATTGAAAGCCTGTGCTGACTGTGCTGACAGTTTTTCTTCTAACACCGGGGGGGGGGGGGCAGGACAAGACCAGTAGTGTTGTAGGGCCTACAACACCATCATCCCCTCCCCGACCAGCATCAGGGATAGCAGAAAGAACACCAAGATCCATAACAGAGAACCTGGGTTTGAATCCCAGGCAATATGCTTCAACCTCTCTGGGTCTCCAGTTCCTCATTTATAAAATGAAAGAGTTGGTCTTGCTCTTCTCTAAGACCCCTCCCTACTCATCTGGTCTCCAGGCCTATGGAGCTACAATGAGAAGAGCTCAGGTAGAGCCCCAACGTTGACCCTTAAGTGCATGACCATGGGGAGGCCACAGCCCTTCTCTGAGGGAGTCTCTTCACTTGTAAAATGAGGATGCACTCGGGGCCTTGGGGACCCAATTCAGTGGTACCCTCAAAGGCTATAGAAATGCCAAGGCCCCCTCTGGGCCCAGGGCAGATGGGCCTTCTAACTTACACTTGCCCTGCTTTTTGTTTTCTTCCATCTCAATGCGTCGCTCCCTCCGTCTCTCCTCCCGAGCCTTTCTCTGCCGTAGCCGTCGCCTCTTCTCAATGTCATCTGTGGATCAGAGTGCTTAACACCAAGTCTGGTCCCACACCTTTCCCTGCTCCCAAGTGGCAATGCCCACAGATGGGACACACAGAGGTAACCTCCTCCCCCAACGTGATTCACTCAGGCTAAAGCAACTGTCACTCACTGGTTTTCTGGCCACAAAAAGAAAGTGGAGCCCACCAGGGAGAGATGCTCACCTGAAAACATTTCCAGAGTTTCCTTGGAAACGACAGGTGGCTGCAGAGCCAGTTCACAGATGCTGAATTCACAGGTGAGAGGCAAATGGCAGAGGTAACGATGCCGCTGTCGAACATCCTACAGTGCACAGGGGAGCCAAAGTTCAACAAAGACCTAAGCACCACACTGCAAACAATCCACAAAGTCCTGGGCACAAAAACCAGCAGGAGCTTTGAGGAAGCGGTCCCCTTGCTGCCCTGTGCTCAGGATTCTTCCAGGGCGTGGCAGTGCATTTCAGCTCCGTCTCCACTAGTCTTAAGGACTGAAAGAAGCATGAGCACTGTCTGCACACACAACACCCGCCCTTACCTCCGATATAGAGTAGCCAGCGATCTCCACCACCGTGGCCGTGATCTTCTCAGGGCTCTGCTCCAGGCTCCCATACTCCCGCACGAGGCAGCGCACATTCACGGGATGCAGAAACATGTACTGTCCATCCTCCGCTGTGGACAAGAGTCACCATCACCGTTCACCACCCTTCTTTCCTCTCGAGTCTCGAAGCCCTCCCAATGGTAGTCTGATCAAAGCACGTGCAGAGATGCCCAGCCCTCCCAGAGTGCCACTAACCTTGATAGAAGTAGTAACAAGGAGAGCTGCCCAAGGACCTGGCACCAAGTGTGGCCTTGGGCTCCCGCTGGCTGATTTTGTGGCATGTGGTCCCTTCTATACCATTTCCATCCAGGATCTCCGAGTCATACACCTCTGTTACCACCCCAGGCTCCAGCTCAGTCACTGCCTCCTCCTCTTCCACCAGGTGGGGAGAGGGAAGAGGAGGAGAAGGAGATCCTCGAGGGCAAGGGTCCACAATTTCTTCATCAAAAGCAGACAGATACTCCAGTAGACACTGCTGAAACAAAAGCTCATCAACAGCAAATCCACTTCCCGCTAAGAAGACACATCAGCACCATCCCGGGGAAAAGACACAGGCCTGGGAGCCACCATCTGCATTCTAGCACTGGTCTTCTTTCTGGTGAATCACTTAGCTGGACTCTAGAGGGTTCTGTTTCCCCAAGACTGAAAGTGGCAATCTGACCACCTACTCCTCTCTGTGTCAGAGATGTGAAAAATGAATGGTCACAGGGTTAAGGGTTTAGGGAGCCCCAGTCACCAAGACAAGGTGCACGTCTACAAGCTCATTAATAGTGACAGGTAAGCAATGACATGGGCCAATCAGCATCAAGGAACACACCCACCTGGGGGCTGGGCTGGAGCAACGGCTCTTTGTCCAAGGGTGCCGCTATCAGGACCAGCTCTTCTACAGCTGTCACGACATCAGTGACCTGGCCACTTCTGGCTGCATCCAATCCTGATAAAGCTTCCTCTCGAGCCTAATGCCAGAGAGAAACGTGGGGTTCATCCCATCTTGTTGAAAAAGAAAATCCTTTTTGCAGGGAAAGGAACCATAATATCCTCTCCCAGGAGCAACACAAAGGCAGCATGGAGTCTAACCAAGCAGACTGTTTATGTTGTACCAACTCGAGAATGCCAGTTCAGGATCCCACACCACAAGAAAAGGGAACACTGAAAGCTCTCTGGGAGCCAGAGATGTCCTTCCTTAGTGGGTGGGGCGGGCTGCTTCAACGGCCTGGCCCCTGCCTTTTTCTCTAACTAATCCTGCCAGCTCAGGCCTGTCGGCATCTCTGCCCAAAGCTGTCGCTATCAGTGAATGAAGGTAATCAATAGAGGTCTTGTTAGAACAACAAGGACGCTCACCACTAGTGTTTACAGCCCAAAAGGCCGAGGGCAGAATGCTTTACCAAGAATGCTTCCTGAAAAGACAAGTTTTTGTGATGAAAACCAAAGACGTGGACAGTAACAGTAAAATTAAAGGACACAAATTAAGTATGTAATTTTAATTTGAGAACCAGATCCCTAAGAAACAGAACACCTGGGCAAAATTCCCTCGATGCTCTCAATGTCCAGCAGGGGTCACCAGAGGGGAACCTAGCAACCTAAAAAGAGGCAAATTCCTCCAGGCTCAAATTCTCCCAAAGGTACTTGGAAAACCTTCAAGTGTAAAGTGCTCTACAAGAAAAATGTCAGTTAGCCAGAAATGCTCCAGGAATAACGAGACTATGGCTTAATTAGGCATAAACAGAATAAAGAGAGCAGAGCCAAAAAACCAAACCATGTGACTACACCAACATAAAGAAAGCCAACCCACAGAGACAACTATAATATCCAAGGCAAAGGACACATCCTTCCCTTCTGGTCATCAATAAACTGAATGTTTTGGGGGGATCTATTTATTAGACAGGCTTCTGGGATGTATTGTTTTGTCTGATACGAATGAAAATATTTAAAATTTCTTTTTGTAAAAAATTCTTCTAAAATCATACAGCATGTGTAAACAGGAAGGGACCTTAAGAAGCATCGTGTCCATGCTACCCCTCTTCCTATTACAGAGAAGTGTAGATTAACTCTGAGCCTGATTGCCACCCGAGTACTAGAATGCATCCTTCAAACTCAACAAGTCAAACCTGCTTCTCTTGCCCATGGTCCCCTCCTCTTCCCAGGCACCCTTGTTGGAGATCAAGAGGCATCTTTCTCTCCCTTCTCTTCCTTCCTCCCTTGCCCCTTGAGGCAACAAGTCCTAACTATGCCACCTCTGAAATACCTCACCTATCCCATCTGTCCTATCTTGTTAAATTCTCCTGCTACTAACCTGTTTCAGACCCTCATTATCTCTCACCAGAACTATCACTAGACGCAAGAAAAGTACCAGGTCTCTTTCCTCCAACCTATCCTAAATACTGATGTGGCCTTTGCTCAAAATCCTTCAAGCACTTCAATTTCCTTAACACTTATCTAAGATGTGAACAAACTAGTCCTAACTATCCTTCCAACCTCATCTCTCATTATCCCTCCCTCGGGTCTCCTCACCTTTACACTCTGGCCAAACTGGACTTCCCTGGGGCCCAGTCCTTCCCATCTGTGCCTACCCTGTGAGTAACATGTTGATCCCCTGTTGGTAATCCCACAAGCTGCCCTCAGTCCACAAACACCACGCCCATCCCTCAAGGCTTCGCTCCAAACCTCCTCTGAGCTTTTAACGAGGAAGAGCTGAAGGAGTTTAAACCGAGATGCCCTGCTGTGATTTACAAGTCTGTCCAGAACTCCTCTGACCTTGTTTTTCTCTCTTCCTAAAGAAGGGCTGTAAACCATGTTATATACAAGATATATCTGAAGCCTGTGTATACAGTTCTGGTTTCACATACGTCTTTCCACATTTCCTGAGATGTTTCCTTTTCTTTTTAATGGCACTCTTCTCCAATTGTCAGACCCATGCACCATTTCTGATGTTTTGCTATTACATTTATAACAGCTATCTTTTCCATATAAATCCATTCATGATTTTGTGATAAAGTCTCAGGGATGGGACTGAGTCAGGGCAGACCAGTTTTGTGACACAGTCACGTGACTCGCCAGGATGTCTGCACCTGTCTGTCATTCCACCAACAACACAGTGGAAGGCGTCGGCTTTGCTTCTAATTACACCAGCTACTACTCCAGAGTCAGCTCCATGACTGCAGGGACCACATTTTATTCAGGCACCAGTAAACACATCAAGAAATAAGCTGCTTAGGGGTTTCATTGCAATAAATCCACCCAACAACTGAACATTCCTTTAAGGATTCAGGATTATATTCTAATCAAGCCACAGCACAAAACTAATTCATGGGAAATAGAAGGTAAGTTAAAATACTGGCCCCGAGAGACACGAAGAAAAGCCCCGGATTTGCCTTTGGGTGTGATTTTCAACACTAACTCTCTCTCTCCAGCTTGTCTCTCCCATGTCCCTTCTGCTCAGGTCTCCTCACCTTGAGCTCCTGGAGGGCGGCCTCAACAAAGCAAGCCTCAGGAGAGTGCTTCTCCTCTGCCAGCTGCTGCTCCAGGACGGCCTTCTCTTCTAGAATCACTCTCTGTAGCACCTGCTCCTTGGAGGCCAGCAGGAGTTTAGAATATTGGCTGTGCTGGTCATCTGTCCAAGGGGAAAAAAACCCAGAACCCCAACTTGGTGAACCTACTAATACCAAAGATGTATGACCAAAACAAATATCTATCACTATCAAGGTTGCAATTACTGTACATAAAATTTAATCAGGCTTGAAAGCTGAAGGTTCACTTCATTTTGCTGGTCTTGTAATACCAACAAGAAAACCCACATCTAGCAGCACAACTGGGACTAGACCAGATTGGGGCTGCCTATCACAGTGGTGTCAAACTCAAACAGAGGATCCCTATGGCTGCATATTGACTTAGAAAACTATAAATTAACATTATCTAGATTGTATTGTATTTTTATTTATTTATTTTGTTAAACATTTCCCAATTACATCTGAATGTGGTTCTGGCTGGACCTGGGAGTTTGGGGCAACTTGTGGGCCTCAGGGTTGCTATCTCTGGTCTACCAACTCAGAAGTCAAAGGTCCTAGTTAAGGGGCTCTGGAGAGGTTGTGCCAACATACTTTTAATTAAGCAGGTAACTCACCTCCAAGGTGAATAGGCTGATCTACATTCATCCATTTGGATTTGGGTAAAGCCACTAACACACCCTTCTCCCTTCTCATGAGCTGCATTGTGATGGTATCGCCAACAATGTATTGGCGTGACTCTGTAGCAACAACACTGTAATGTGGGAAGAGAACTGTCAAGTGGAGATAACGTGCACCTGAAGCACTATGGATTGGTGAACTGCCTCTCAGCCTCACCTCTTGAGATCCTTCTTGTGAACAGAGCTATAGCAGATGGGACATTTACTCCAGGTCTTCTCACTCAATGAAAGGTAGTGCAGTATGCACGCCCAGCAGAAAATATGCCCACAGCGTGTGATCTTGGCTGCAGTTGGCGGGTAAAGGCATATTGGGCAGGACGGCACCTCGTGACTACAGATGCGCTAGAAAGGCACAAGAATGAGACCAGTCAGAGCTCAACTGACCTGACCATCCCAGACACTCCTCAAAAAAATCTTTGCCATGTTCATACCTTCTACTGTACATGAGAGAAACAATTTATAGACCCATTTACAAGCAAATCTGTTACATTTCAGGACAGCTCTAGCCCCGGCAGATGACATAAAGTTAAAGTGTGTTCTATGCCCAGCACAATTCTAGTTCAAATCTGCTGAGAAGCAGCTTGAGTTTGGCTTTAAATGCACTGACTTCTATACCAACAAGAACCCACGCTTTTTCCAAGGTAGGGAGAGAGGAAGGTGATTCCTTCGAGGGCTCCTTTCTCATTAGAGAAGATCTACAAGATAAATCAGGCCCACTGGTATGATTCAGCAAGAGACTGTTCAAAGGCTTTCCAGAACTTTCAGCATTCATAATGAATACCAAAAACAGCTATGACTCTATGACTTTATTTTTCCCTTCTCTTGATGAGGAAATACAGCTGTGTGGCTCAATCATCTGCTGGCTCTGTCCCCGGAGACTAGGTTTGGGGATATTTTTACTGTGATTGGGTCCAAATATCTGCACAACAAGCCTGGTGTCCAAACAGTCTGCTGCAAATGAAATCATGTTCCATGCAATCACCACCTTCTGGGTCTAGAAGTCAACTTGCCCCCTCCCCCAAGTTCAATTGGCTATTGCTTTCTGATATGGTTAGACCTTTTACTAGAGCTTGAGGCTACAATCGAGGCTGCTCTAACCCAACTACCCCCAGAACCAATGCTGATTCCCCAGCTACACATAGAATTCCTTATCCCTGGAAAATGGGGTTAAAACTTCCTAACTAAGATTCTCCACTGGAGGACACAGAAGTCTCAGCAGAAACTTGCTCTAACAGAGGAAGGGAGGGAGAGATCCCTTGAATTTTTTCACCCACCCCCTGTCAACAAGCTTAGCTGTGCTACTGACCACTTGTTCCACAAAGTCCCAGTTGACCAAGGTGTCAGGGTCAGCAAAATTCACTGTGTAGTCTTGGTCTTCAGACACGACAAACTGGCAGCTGGAAGAGGAAATGGGGGAGGGAAAAGAGCAGCCCATCAGCAGATCTGGCAAAGAACAGCCACGCTGTCCAATATCAAGTCAAAAGCAGTCCCATATGCTATCTTGTACACAGAACTCTACACTGGGGTACGGCATAGAACCTCTACTTTGAAAGGTTACAAAAGGCCCAGCAGACTTGAGTTTAATAAGAACCACTGAACTCAATTTCCACCATAGCAAAAGCCAGTCCGGCCCCTCCCCCAAGCCTCTCTAGAACTAAAAATAGCCCAGAATCCTGCTTTGTCAAGGGCTAAGCAGCCAGTTTTGTCCCTGGAGGCTGGACTTGGGAAACAGTGAAGTAAATCAAATGGCTACCCGGCCTAAAATCAAATTCAAGCCTTGTCCTACGGTTAGCCCCACACAACTTTAGAACGATAAGCATCTTTTATCACTGTTCTAGAGAGGGAGATTTGAGTAAGAAGGCAATTTTACCCCAGACGTGGTCCCACTAGGCTGGTCCTTACTATACCAATGGGTGCCTCACTCCCACCACGCCTTCCATCCCCCCAGAATACAAGCACGGGTCGCCCTCATAAACAGCTGCGAGAGAGAACGACTTCACAATGTCCTCAGGAGAATTCACATTTCCACCCATTTCCCTTCTACTCACTTGGCCTGCAAGAACAGCTCCTTGTTAAAAGGCTTTTGTCCCCATTTGTTCCTCTTTCCCCAGCTGCCATGGCCACTGCCTTCAAAGTGGCCTGCCTGGCCTCGGGGTTCAAAAGTGAAATTCAGTAAGTGGTTTAGATTTATCTTCTTAGGACCAGAGAATTGGGCAGGGCTGAACTCTGCCCGTTGAGCCTCTGCTACCTTGAGAAAAAAATGGCAGTATTTTAGATGAAGATGACCCAAGCACTGATTTCACTACAGATGCCAGTACAACACCCCACTGCTCATTAAATTCTACTTTGGCCCCTGGAAAAAATAAAGCTGTAGCTAACAGATTAAAACAGACAAAAACAAAGCGTTTGCCCACTTCAAAGAGAACAGTCTAAAATCAGGCCAAGTAAAAGAGCCCCCAAAAGCTGGAGAGGGAAATCTGTATCATGCTGACTGTTTTGACTAAGCCAGTCTGCCCTCCTACAGGGCAATAAGTCATCTAAGAACAGAAAACAGCAGGAACTCTGTTGTGCACATCTGGGTACAGAGAGGTTTTTATCTTATTCTCTCCTCTAAACAAAAGCCTGCAGCAAGATGCCCACCTCCTCCTCACCCTTGTTAGCTACTTGCTCCCTGGGCCAGCCTCAGCTGACACTGCCCCTCGGAACCAACCTGCTGTGGCTCCCTCCCACAAGCTTAAGGATCCTGCCAGAAAAGACTCTCTCAGACACATTTCTACTCATTTTTAATTGAAACTGACAGAATTAGAACTTGTGGGCTGACTAACTCTCAGGCTAGAAATAAATCTTATCAGCATCAAATTAAAAACCAATTTAACAGGTGGTACAAATACACAATCATCTGAAAGAAATCCTGTGTCTCTCACACACACTGTAAAAGCACATGGCCCAGCCTGCAGGTTTTTCATTCTCCCAGCACTCCCATCATGGAAGACATCGTCACGCTACCAGAGTGTGGCTTAGAGCCAGCCAGGACATATCTTAAATGTCATTCTACAACTAAGAAATGCCAAAGAGGACATCATCCTTCTTACTTCAAGAAGAGCCTCTACACAAAGCTAAAGTTACCCACATCATCCAACACCTCAAAACCCAGCCATCATGATGCTGTGATCTGCAGCCATCCTGAAAACACGTTCCTGCCTCCAAAGGCATGCTCACCACCTTCTGAGGAAGGAGCAAGAGTTTCAAGAACGGCAGGGCTTTCACACAAAAGCACTCAAGGTGATACTTCCATGACTTTCACAAAGTGGAGACCCAACTGGCAGGCTGCCATGCTTCTCGGGGTCCAGGGAACCTTCCCAGAAGCCTTACCTCATCTCGTCTTCCACCATTAGAAGAAGAGCTAAAGAGCTTGCTGCTGCCGCCGCCGCCCCTCTGAGGGGGCATCTTGTGAAAAGTTTTGCTTTTCTGTGAGTTGGAGCGACGGGACTGGTTATTAAAGTTTTCATTTTTGGGGTAGGAAGTTTCACGCTTACGGTTATAACGTTTGGATCCACTGGCATTCTTTCCATCTAAAAAGCAAGAAGACGCAAATGAAAGTTTTATGAAGAGTCTCCGCTTCTCAGTCGCCAAAAGGTGACACATAACCCTCCCCCCATCCCAATGGCTGGATTTGGGCCAGGCTGTTGGCCTTCATTAATAGATTACAAAAGCCAAGGCAAGACCAGCTGCTGCGCTAATTACAAATCTGTGTGGGTTCTACTGGTTTCTTTTGGAATTATGATGAACACAGCTATATGCTGCTATAACTTTTCCATGATCCTATTCCAATTTTGGCATTATGGTCTGTGGACCCTCAGCATTTTTGATGATTGGGGCTCTTATGGAATAGTTTCAAGGGCTGATTCTCATAATTCTACTTCCTGTACAGAATTTATAGTCGCTGCTCTTAGAAACACTCATGGAAATAGTGCAGGACCTAGTTAAAGTAGACTATTACTGAGCAGTAAGAAATGATGAAACTGAGCGATTAAAAAAAACCAGGAAGACTTATAGTAACTGCTGCAAAATTAAGAGCAATATGCACAACGGCTACAAAGACATAAAACAAGAAATCAATCAAATACAATAAAACCAAGTCAAATACCTAATTAACAATGCTGTTTCCAGATTATTCAAGTTGAAGCACTCGAACACACAACACACAGGTAAGGGAAGATGAAAGCTAATTGCAGTCAATGGAATAGGAGAATACGTTATTTTACCTAGAAAATTTCAGTATTAAGCTAACACACTTTCTTTGAACCATTAAGTGTAACTTCAGCCTAGGCCTTTCATACATATTTATAAACTAGGCAGAAAGACAAGGCAACCTAATAAAGTTTCCTAGTCTGGACTCTAGAAATCAATATTATCAGAATATCATTAATGGATTTAAATATAAAATTCAGGGTGAACAAAACTTTAGGAAACCTAATATATGACTATGATTTTTTACTCTGGACCCTTCTACCACCTGCCCCAAGCCTGACACCTGAGATATTACCAAGTTCAAAATTAGCCGAGACGAGAGGAGCTCCCAAAGCAGCCCTCAGCCAAAAAGGGGAGAAGGTACCACTCTCATACTTCAGTTATATCAAAGCTGATTTGGAACCAATGCCAAAATCATAATAAGAAGAGGCCTGGACTTGGAGTCAGAGGACCCTGGTTCAACTGGCTCTGCTATTTACTACCTGTGAGACTTGGGTGAGTCACAACCTCACTGGGGCTTGTTTTCCTCATTTGGAGAATAAGGCAATTCAAGAAGATAATCTCAAGGTCTTTCTCCAGTTCTGAATCCTATATGCCTTCTATAACCATTCTATTCCTAATTCATTTGTTCATTCCATGTGTTCCATTCCAATGCAAGAAGGGAAGTGGCTAAGTGAAGCAAAACTGTGGATATTTTCAAAACATCTTATGAAAAATGAGAGAAGCAGTTTGGCTTAGAAGCTAAACAACTGGCTTCCAAACCACGAAGACCTAGGTTCAACTCCCACCTATGACATATACTGGCTGTAACCCTGGGCAAGTAAGACCTTGAACCTCTCAGGGCTCCAGACATCTAAGACCATGATGTTGCAGAGAAGGTGCCAAGCTTCACTGGTAAAGGGAATTTCCTCACTTGGAAGTTCCCTACAGAAATGAAATCACAGGTCCACTTTGTAACTCATAAAATGTAAACAGAAATTTTGGCAATTCCACCCTGCAGTAGCTGAATAAGTCATAGTAATGAGAGTAGCAATGAACAAAAGTTCTAAGAAAAATGAAAATTTCCCCTTTAGTAAAAATTTATCTCAAACAAGTCAAAGCCACAAGTTATTCAATATTTCATGAAAACAGAAATCTAGTATCTACAGCAGTTGTGGGGGGGGGGGGGTGAGCACTTAATTGCCAGATGAAGGAAATCAAAGCTCTGCAGCGCTTTCTCCCCATGCTGTATGGCTCAAACCAACATTAGCCTTATAAACTATAAAAAGGCAATTTTCAAAAGTCAGGAAGGCTTAGTTGACTTTTAAAGCTGAATGCCAAATAGAAGTAGACTGAGGATCAGCCAAGGTCCTTCATATTTCAGCTGCAGTGGTGGGCACCAGCCCCCATGCTTGGCCAGCTTCTTCAGGTGGGCTCCATCCTCCACAAACCAGCTCCCCATCTCATCTCCTTGTGGTACTGAAGAGTTAGACCAATTGCTACCATTTGGGCAAGATGACAGCAGCCGGCAGTGCTGACTGGAAAGGCCATCAACAAGGGGTTCCAGCCTGGGTTCACTCCTACTCACATTCCCAATAATTCTGGTCAAAAGCAATGTCTACAATTTTCAAACTCTTGATTGAAGTTTAAAACTGAGTCTTGTTACTCATTTATACCTGATACCAAGAGGGCTGTCCTAAATGTCCTACATGCCGGAAAGGATCCAATTTTCAAAGGTGAATTTGATGTTGATCATGGAAATCCCCCTGGATCCGTGAAAATTATGTTGTTAACCCCTCAAAAAGCTGGAAATCCAGGAGATATTTCTAACTGTTCATCTCCCAGGGAATTAATCTTGAGAAAAGAGAAAAAAAATGTGGGGGGGGGTGGGGGCAATGAAAAGAGCAGATGGCCAAATTTTTACTTCTAGAGAGGAGCACAAATATTTCAACATTTCTTAGGGCACTGGCAAGTTACATATACGTTAGGAATCACTATGAAATAAAAGCACTGGTGAGGACGATTCCTGATTTGCATAGGCCTGTCAACTCACCCAGAAGGCCAATCTTCAAGATGTCCCCCACTTATTACAACACTGACAAGCAACAATTTCATAAGGCTTACAGAATCGCTCTGATAGAAAACAAGTCCAGGAAGTACTTAGTTCTGAAACACCAGCACTGACCACATTACAAATACATGACTTTACTGCTGCTACCCCTTCCACCCCAACCTCTCTGCTTCCATTGCACTACAGCAAGCAAGTCAACACAGCAGAACTGAGGGTCTGGGTATGTTATCTCTAACACTGCACACCCGGCAGCAGTAAGATCGAAGGTGCAGCCAGGCCTGGGGCCCAGAGATAAAAACTCACAGCACTATTTTTGCAAGGAGACTGTTTGTGGAAAGCTGGCTAGGATAACGCGAGGGCAAATTTTTCTCAGCCAGACAGTGACTGGCCAATAGGGATTCATTTTCAGACTGTTTAGCAGGAAGAGTTAATTTTAAGCAAGATCATAGCACTGGATGGACCTCTCCCTGAAGCTTCCTTCACTTAGGCCTAACTAATGCTCCAAAACACACTAGACAAGGTTAAGTGGCCCAAAGCTCAAGATCTGTGATGGTCAACAAGGCAAGGTCTCCAAAGCTGACTACAGAGCCCCTGCCCATTTACATTCTCCACAGCAATGATAAGATCTCTGCCGAAGAGCTTCTCTTTCCCCACCTCCAAATTAAGGGCTCCGTATCATTTTCAACAAGAGTCACAACAAATTATCTGGCAACGTGATATCCATATATAACTCCAATTGTGAAAGCCCGGACAGGTGGCATTACTTAGGTCAGAGCAACAGATAGGAAGTTATTGCTGCTGATTCATGGGAGGATCATGGTCAAGTTCCTTACCCACAATACTCAGAGTAGGTGATAAACACTTCCATCACAATGGGCAGCACAGGGGTTTGCTACAAGACTAGCTAATCGAATTTACTTAGGACGTCAATGGGATGACTATAAATACTAAATGGAATATATATAGCCAAGGTTTGGAATTGGAGGCCGTGTGGACAGGTGATAGACACCCTGAAGGGCTCCCTAGTTTGTGGGAGAGCAGAAAGAGGCCATGTAAGCTCCTCAGACCTGAGTAAAAATTTCAAGTTTTTTCCCCAAGCAGTACCTGTTGAGTTCCCACACAGTAAGAGTCGAGCCTAGAAGACACAAATATTCTCAAAGAAGTTTGGATTCAAGTCATTCTGCTTTCCGAGGCCATCATCATCATCATCATCTCAAACTTCCTGTATAATTCTGAGGCCTCTTAAAGGTGAATAAGTTTGCACTAGCAACCTGCCTTCTGGCATACAGTAAATGAACAGGAAGAAGGCCACATTATTAACCCGAAAGAATTGCCTCAATACCTGAACTTCTGCTAGCCTCGACAGTGACTGGGCCCACCCTCCAGCAGGACTCTTGTCTTATGGGGCAACAACTGGGCTCTGCCTCACGCTCACTGTAAAGCTAAGCTTCCTTCTTCCTATTCATTCGCCTTAATTTCTCCTCTTCTCTCTCGTACTTTTTTCTGGGCAATGCTCATGGAATATTTCACTGTTAAAAGTTCTTAGAATGGTGTCTTTTAATTCTTTACCAGAAGAATTACAACATCCATCATTATTACTGGAAAGAAGCTATAATCCAAATCCAAAGCACTCCATAAATGTCAGCTACACAAATATAACAAAGGTAAGGGAGCTTATCTGGAAAAACCCGCTGTGCTATAACTGGAGAAAAGAATGAGCCGTTCCAATTTTGAAGGCCAAGGAGATTTTGGGGTTTACCTATTACTAGTATTCCATGAAGGGTGAACACATGATAATGGCAGACATTTACAAAACACTTTTTGAAGGCTGCAACTTGCTTCACATATGCTACCTCCTTTGAGTCTCGACATCTCTATGCTACAGAGGAAAGTGGGGCTCAAAGAGAGCAAGTGGCCTGGCCAGGGTCACACAGCTAATCGAGTTTCAGAAACACGAGTTCTCCTGAAACCAAGGCCAGCACCATCTCCTAAGCCACACTGCTTCATCCCCAACAGAGAGCAAGAATGAAGGCAACCGAGCTTGTGGGTTAAAACTAAGACAATGTGACCATTTTCAATCTCCCCAAGTTAGACATTTTAAACTAAAGGCTGCTTTGGTGGGATTTTTGGTAAGGTACAGGGAAAGGAAGGGATGGAAAGCTATGAAGCTCGCAGTGCTCCTCACAGTCCCAAGCCCCTCCCCAGCTCCTGCTTCTTCATGCCCTTGAGTAAACAAAGACTATTTGGAAGCTGGGGTTGGAGGGGACTTGT